TATATATACTGTATATAAAATCAGAAAAGCATATAGCCAGGTTCTCCAGGAGTTTGACCTTCTGTCCCACCTCCCCAACAGGTACATGGGCACCCTGGGCTCCCAGGTCATGTGCGACAACATCCCCGGCCTGGTGAACAAGCAGCGCCAACTGTGCCGCCAGCACCCCAAAGTCATGCAGGCGATCGGGGCCGGGATGAAGGACTGGATCTCTGAGTGCCAGCACCAGTTCCGCAACCACCGCTGGAACTGCAGCACCATCGGCAGGGACCAAAACCTATTTGGACGTCTGCTCCTACGCAGTGAGTAGAACCAGAGAGGAACACCTGTCCTAGAAAACCACAACAACAATCTAAATCTACCAGAAGCTCAAAACAAGAGTCACTAACAACCACACAGTAAGCTGTTTGACAGAGAAGAGTTGGTCAGTTTTTCATGTGTACAACCCACAGCTCTACTGCTCATCCAACAATTGCACAATCCTTACGAATGTGGCACCATTTTAAAGGGAAATTACAAGGTTTTCCAACTGTATATGATTTATTGCCAAGGAACTTTGTTACAACTAAGAAGTAATCTACTAAACAGATCCCTAACATGTTCCCACCTTGCTTTTAAAGGGACCAAAGTAATTGGACAATTAACTCAAAGACTATTTCATAGACAGTTGTGGACAATTCCCTCATCATGTCTTTTTTAATGAATCAGATAAAAGGCCTGAAGTTGATTTGAGGTGTGTTTGTTAAGATTACAACTAGAACTTACTTACTGGGCAAATCTTAAAGGACACAGTGAAAATCATCCTCCACAAACAGTTCTACAACCATGTCAAAAAAAATTAAAGAAAGGAATCAATAGTTTGGTTGGATAATTCAGGAAACTCAAATGAAATTGGAATTAATAATTATATGATCTGTAACACTATTAATATGTCTAATATTCCAACATGGATTCTTGGTCAGTTTTCTACAGATTTATATTTACTCGAAAAAGGTAGAGAATTAAATAGTACTGGGGTAGAAAAATACATTGGAAGGGAGTACTCAGAATATATAAAAATTTATACAGATGCTTCAAAAATGGAAGATAACAGAGTAGGCATATCATTTATTATTCCAGATTTAAACATAGTGAAAAATAAAAGAATCACAGTTAAGTTAGCGGTTTATACAGGAGAACTTATGGGAATTCTGCTGGCATTGGAATGGGTGGAGGAAGTTAGAGGAAAAAAGGTTTTAATTTGTTCAGATTCGAGCAGCGCCATAACAAGTATTAAAAACATGCATTCAGATTCAAGGCAAGATATTATTATAGAAATAATTCAATCAGTTTTTATGATGTAAAAAATGGTACACAAATCAAAATAATATGGATACCGGTACATATTGGATTAGAAGGAAATGAGTTGGCTGACAAATTTGCAAAAAGTGCAACAAAGAAAAATGCCATTGATTTGAATATTAAGATTAGTAAAAAATGAAGTTAAAAGTGTAATAAAATTACAGATTAGGGAAAAATGGCAACACCAATGGGATAGAGAAACAAAGGGCAGATATTTTTATAATATACAAAAAAGGTGGGAGTATTTAGGAAATGTTATGGGAATAAGAAAGAAGAGGATATTATTTCAAGAATGAGATTTGGACATACGGGTTTAAATAGTACACTAAAAATAATGAAAAAACATGAAACAGGATTATGTGTGTCAGATGGACATTAAATTACCCCTTAAAAAGAAATGAACCTGACACTGACATAAGTATTCAGTTTAAAACAGTTTTGTATATTCTATATAATATCTATCATGTGACTGTGGACAAAGTGAAAATATAGATCATGTATTTATGGAATACAATAAATATACAGGAGAAAGACAGCAGTTAGTTAGAAAATTACATTCACCGGCCACTTTATTAGGTACACCACGCTAGTAACGGGTTGGACCCCCTTTTGCCT